AGAGAGTATTCTAACAGCATTGACTAACTTGCATAGATCAGACATCCAATGCTTTCTCGTGTCCCAAGTTTTGGGGGTTATGTGACCCAGTTTATCATTTTAGTGTCACGTCCTGTCGTACCGATTCAGTTTTGTACGGCGAAAATTAAAAAAATATGGACGAAAAACATTGCCAGGTTTGTTTCGAGAATTACTCGTTGAATTAAACGTTGTTGTACTTTAATCAATGAAGGAATATAACGATTTGAAACAGAGATTGGTGAAAATTGGGATGAAAAATTTAATGTATATTTGACTATTAACATCTATTTCTAAAAGTATTAGAAAAAAATTGATTGAAATATGATATTCTTATGAACAACATATAACTAGATATGACGTTCTTCAATTTACAAATTTGTAAATTCACAACCTGAATGAATTGTCCTTTATCCCGTGAACTTATCAAATAAAATATTTCTACAAATATTGTTTACAATAAAGAAGCACATTACGTGTTGTAAATTATTTCTTACAACATTCATCCGTTCCAAATTTCGAAGTCCAATTTACTGTTTTAAACAATACCGATATTTTCTTTTTTACAGCATATTATTTATTAAGATAAACTCACTGAGTTACATTCTCAACAACCGAAATCATTTATTGTTATAAATTATTAACGCTAAACGTACCAAGCGTACTTTTCAAAATTTACTTCAAAATCGTATATTCACTGTTACTTCTTTCGCTAATCTGACTTTCTGCAAATTATTACTTATGTTATCTGATTGTTCTATTTCTCGCTCTCTTTTTTTTCTTAGTTTATTTCTTATCGAGAAAAACTCTTGCATACCTTACCGCGACGGGTCATTTGGTCCCTTAGTTCTGGGACTCGGATAAACCTCTCAAGTTTCATTCATCTGAATATACACGTGTGTTTAGTTTCGGCATGAGCACTCAAACGACCCGGTCGTGGTCCTTACGTGAAACATAAACAGAACGGACTCTTCTCGGAGATTCACAAGCAACAAAACACTCGCGAATGAGTTCTTTATAGCTAAACAAAATAGAAATGTATTACTATATTGAGTCAGAGAGTAAAAATCAAAGCCTACAAAATATCAAATACGACAAGGAGTGAATAATCCGCGTTATATTCAATATATTGGCCCTGTGTTTTACTGCAGCCCTGAATATGTCCGCACGTAGTCATGATGAGCAAAATATCGAGAACAGTATAGCGGCTTGTGATGGAACTGCTTGGCATCGAATCAAAGAAGGGTCGGTAATCGAAAGACCACCATTTACCTTCAGAGAAGTGTCAGATCCAACGGCATACGTCTGGTGGTAAAGCAAAATCAGCATTTTCGGTGACAATAGATCATACTATTATTGACACCATTAAAAAAAATGTACAGAAGCAGAAGCCTTGCGAGTTTTAGGGACTGAATGGGATTTGCCTACTTCAAAATTATATGCTTTTATAGGGCATTTTATCAAGCAAAAAATTTACCCACTTTTCACATCTGTGGAATTCAAGATGGCGACCTCTCTTCTCACTGAGTGAATTTGTTGTCGTGAAACTGGCAGAACCTTTCACTAAATCTGGCAGAGATATTACGGCAATTTCTCCACCTGCATCATTGTCTACAAAATTGTTGTCAAAACAACGGACGACACTAGTTGGAACGATACGTACGAACAGAAGGGAATTACCGACACTTGCAAAAACGACGAAAGATAATTTGAATAATTTCCTAATTTATAAATCAAAACCAGCAAAAAAAGTTACGATACTAAGTTCGTGACATAAATGCGTCAAAAACCAAAAACAATAGAAAGCGAACGCCCGAAACAATTAGTTATTATAATAAGACTAAATTTGGCGTTGACTTGGTTGACCAAATGCCGTGAAAATACAGCCTCAAATCCAAATGCAACAGATGGCTTGGTACACGTATTCTTCAATATCCTGGGATTTTTAGCTGAAATCAATGGATAACTCTATCGGTAAATAACTGGAATAAAGATATCAAGACAGCGTTTCCTGTTACAGCAGATGAACTAGTCATAGAGTATCACGAATTTCTTGAAGAAGGAAAGGAATCTAACTTACAACAAGGAACTTAACCTACAACAAGGAACCTAACCTACAAGGAACATCAAGCAATATTTCCCAATCACGAAGAAAATGTCAAATGAGACTGTGCACGACTAATAAAACCACTCAAACTTGCATAATTTGCAAAAAATTTGTCTACGGAAAATGTATGAAGGAGAAACTAACTAGTCATATGTAAAAAGTGCAATTAACTGATTATTTTTTTTATTTAGACAGAAATATATGTTTGGTTATTTTATTAGAAATCAGAAGTTATGTTGCGAATTATTTCCTTTAATAAATTAAGAATATTTCTTTCTAAAAATCAACGTTTATTTATAAAGGTCAAATGACCCCACGTTTAGTGTTAAATAATAATCTGATAACCAGTCATATCCTTATGGCAAGAACTTAATGATATATACGTTAGTATTTAAGATTTCATAAGTTTGCTCACTAATATTCATTAATATCACGAAAATGTAAATTTTAGCCGATAAAAAATTAATGAATTATTACATTCAACATTCTAACATATTCATAAAAGTGTAACTTTGCCATAGAAATGTAAAAACTATCAAATTATTGATTAGTATAACAGAAAAATTGTTTTTCGAAATATTAAAAAAAAAAGCCATGCCCTCATTTGGCATATACACGGCGTTTTCCGCAATACATGCGCCGGGTCATCTGCATTCAAAATTTTGAAAGCGTGG